TTCAGGATTTGGGCCATTTTGACAACATTGTCTGCATTCACGTACAAAAGCAATAGAAGAGCTCTGCGCGCATCCGCATAGCCCACCTTGACAGGCGGCAGCCGCGGACAAGAAGCGGAACTAAAAGACGCCTCGTCATAGCTCAATTTCAAGGCGCTGGGCAAACTCGGGTGTTATCCAAAAGGCCCTATTTGTCAAACATAATCGCACATGAGGAGTGGCAGGAAGAGAAGAGAAAAATGGAAAGATAGACCCTACCAGGGGGTGAGACACACTCCATTGATAGACGCTCATATCGTTGTGGTCAGAGAAGGACATTGGGGTTTTTACAAGCCCATAATCTAGGATTACTCACCAAGCTCCATCAGGTTTTTATGAGAAAGCGTCTGAAAGGCATGTAAAACCGACCTTTTATAAAGGCCTCCTAAGATGCCTCCATACACAACAGCAATTGCTGCTTTACTCAAGCGCAACCTTGCTTCATGCCGCCTATTCGAGAAATTGACTGGAACTGAGCAGAGGGTAAGAAATGATGGGACGCATTCTGGAACAGTGGCTCCAAAAGTAGAAAACTTGACGGGACTTGTAGGCGGAGGGAGACCGTTCAAAGATTTCGATACATATAAATAAAAGAATCTTAAAATGAACTCTAAGATGTGCAGGGAGGCCGGAATTGGTGTTATGTGCTCCCTCCTACGAGCTCCAGTTAGGAAGCGGGAAGCAGCGCTTTGGACCAACTGGAGACGCTTGAGGGAGGACTGGCTGACTCCGAAATAAAGTGCATCACAGTAATCCAGGGGACCAAACACTTTTATTATCTGTTTACACTCTGCCAAGTGCTTTAGGACTCCTCAGGTGGCGCTTCACAGCGCAGATGGACAATGACCTGAAGCATACGATGAAATAAAGAAGTGATTTTGTGTCCTCTTTGTAGTCGTGAAAATGTCACAAACCTGACCAAGTTCAGGCTAGAGAAAGAATCCGCCTGACTGATCACTTCTCTGCAACTCGCAAGTCCGGACATTTACTTTTTTTTAAAGCCTCCAGACAGGCATTCGCTTATCCTCAAGTTTTTTTGGACCTTTAATAAAGCGAGAATGGACCCCAGGTCCTGTGTCTCTTTCACTCGCCGCCTCCCTCCGCTCGCAGCCTTGCTTTTAATTGCTTTGAAGCGCGGCGCCCACCTCGGGGAGCTCAACAAGATGTTTTACAGAGCTTTGGGGAGTCTGACTATTAATAAATAATACCTCCCTTGTCTTCTCCCCTCACATTCCTCATGACAAAACTGTGGCAGCTGAAAATCCGTGTTGGCTGATAGGATACAAAAGGTGTTGAGGCACCTGCGATACCGTTCAGTAGTGCGGCACAGTCAGATGCGGTAAAGTGGACATGAAACGCACGCGCAATTATTCTAATTAACGCCTTAATTAAGTCACGACACCCTGCAAAGTGTAGACTGCAGCACTGAATTTTATCCACGTGTCTACACTTGACACTTCGTGGGGAAAGTAGGCTTGATTAAACCCTCATCAAAACACTAATTATCGCTCCAAAGAAGCCTCGCAACATGGTTACATGAAGCATTTTAAATGGCCAGAAATCTTTTAACAGAGACTTTTTTTTGTTGTTTGGTTTTGTAACTTGAATACATGACATGCTTTAAGTGTTCGGGGGTCAAGATTCCGGTTTGGTTTGTTTTGCTTTCATAGCTCCACTGACCTTATCACAGAGCGAAACACGATGAGGGAAAACCTCGGGTCACTGCACTGAAAGTCCGGCCATCTTCAAGTCACTCCACTGAAATAAACAAGCCGAAAGATAATATTGCAAATAATACCTTCTGACTTTAGAAGAGCGAAACAAGAAGATGGAAACCA